GTGATAAATGTTCATTAATGTAAGATATATTGTTCATTTATAAAGTAGTGTATATAATAATTAACATTTGTTAATTCATTTTGTTCAACAGGTGAACCAAATTAGGAAGCAAGGATGCGGAACTGATGCTATTTGAAGAAAAACACTAAATATAGGTTAAATCGAAGATAAGCAAGGAAGTTTGCAAATGAATAGTACATGTTATATGTTCATTTATGAAAGTGTATATGTTCATTAATGAATGTGTATATGATCATATCTTAAACTTCCTCCATTTCTTTTTACTTGCAACACAGCCTTGTGGCACGTGTTTTGAGGTCGGGTTTATATAATGTAAACGGATAAATTATTCATTATAATTTTTACAAATGATACTTAACCCTATTCTAATCTTCGTGTAAAAATTATATTGATAAAATAGCTCGTTTACCCTCACTAATCATCTCCTAAAATTGCGTGCCTAAAAGGTGTGTTGCAAGTAAAAGAAAACGGAGGAAGTATATAGTTTTATAGATGATTTTTTTTGGAGGAAAATAGACTTATAGATATTATTTGTTAAAAAAATTATTGTAATTGATATTTCATTTTAATCTTTATTTGTATGAAAAAATATATATAATTTTTAGGTTTTATGAATTGGTTGTTGGTTCTTTACTTTTGTTCATTTTCAAATTGATAAATAATCATTTACATATGTTGAATTTTAAAAAAACAATATACTAAAAAAGGTACTATATAGAAACAAATTCTTATGTCTTTAACACTTGAAGAACTTTGAACAAGAGCACCTTGATCATTTATTGGAACCGTGGGAGGAATAACTTAAACATTTGTCGATTGAACATTTCTGGAATGGGGTTTAAACATTTCTAGATTGAAGTTTGAACAATCCTGAGTTGAAGTTGGAACAATGCCAAGAACTACGGGTGGAACAAAATATCTAGTTTGAGATTTTGTAGACGCATTAGTACTCTTGGATTAACTTGAGCATCATTTTTAACACCAGCACCACCTTTATTTATAGGAACATTACATTGAGCTTGAGCAGCAGAAACACCAGCAACACTTTTATTTATAGGAATATTTAAATCCTTCGACTGCAAAACAAATTAAATGATCATATTAAAATATATAAATGTTCAATTACAAACACTTAAATAAACAGATAAGAAAAACAAAACTTTAGCAAGATATGAAATATCAGCTTTTTTTCCCACTGCACAAAGTTTTAATATACAATTATAAATGAACATAACAAGTTTCAAAAAATGATCATATTAAATCCTTTAAACACTAAATCCTTCGCCTTCAAATAAAAGTTAAATGATCATATTAAAATATATAAATGTTCAATTTCAAACACTTAAATAAACAGATAAGATCAAAACCTTAGCAAGATATGAAATATCAGTTTTTTTTCTCATTGCACAAAGTTTTAATGTACAATTATAAATGAACATAACATGTTTCAAAAATGAACAATAATTAACAAATACAATGTTCAATAGCAAAATTGCACATGATCAATATGGAAAATTTTGACACATAATATTATCAAGAAAAAATGGTAAAAACAAATAATCATATATGACATAAAAAAATTAAGAAGTACAAATGATAACACATAATTGATTAATTTTAAATATAAAAATGATCCAAAAAAAAAAAATAAAAGCATAAAAACAAAATCACGCAATTTTCAAACATAGAGCAATGAAATAAATTGAAGCAGCGAAATATTCATAACAAAGTATGAACAATCCAAAAACGTTCATCATAATCATAATCAAATTTTGAAAATTGAAGCAACGAAAAGAATAATAATACATAAATTAAGTTGAAATAAACAGAGCATTATAACACAACAATGTATTGATGATAAAAATTACAAAATTATGATTGTAATTACTCACATTGTTGATGAACAAACGAATCAATCAATCGAACTCTAGAAGACGGAAACACACTTTCGTAATCACGATCGAAATTAGCAGAGGAAGAATCAGCCATTGACGATCAACAACAATTATCAAAATCGTAGGAAAAATAAACGGCAAAATTAGTATAAAATCAAATGAAGAAGATGAATTAACTAGAGAGAATGTAGGTAGAAAAATGGAAATTAATCAATTGAGGAGAGAGAAAATATTGGGTTTAAAATCATTTATATACATAGCTTGAATAATAAGAAACAAGGAATTAAAAAAATAAATAAAAAAAAGGAAAGAATTGAAGCATGAATTAGCTCGTGAGTACTCCCCGCAAGCTACAAAATGGCGTAGCATCAGGGGGTGTAGGTAGACCATCCTACACTAGGATGTAGGGTATAATTTTCAAAAGTATAGATGGGAAATTGATAGTTAGGCCCACAATATAAAGAGTGGCCCACCCATTACTCCCAAAAATGGACCATGGGTTTGGTTGTTCTTACTAACACGGGCTTACATTACAAATGCATGTGCAAATCAGCCTTACTACTCTGTTCTTGACTTCACTACCCTACAAAAACTGTCAAATCCTTGCATAATTTTACTCTTCTAATTTACTACGGAGTAGCGCAATTTATAAAGCTGACAATTATATTGTCAATTTCCTTTTGTTTTCCATGTGATGGTAGAAATGGGCAAATAGCATCCGTTTTTATTTTAGCTAATCTTGATTTAATCCTCTTAATTTTCTCTACCTTTTTATCAAAACTGAAATGGGAAATTTCAGAAAACCTAGGCTTACCTTTTCATTGAATGCGAGATAATAATCCGTCGTAATTACATTCTCAATAGCAAACTCTGGTAAAACAATAAATTGTACTCCAATTAAGGTGTGCCATGAAGTGACTGTTTTCTCTCAAAAATATACTTGAAATCAATAAAAGTAAGAAATAAAAAAAATGAGGATATATCTTTTTAAACATAGAAATCGCAATTAGGGTGTTATTTACTCTCTATAAGTAATCCTACTTTCGCATAATAATTTGGAAACATTATTATCATAATAATGTTGGAAACGTCGTAGTCCCTAATAGGGCTATAGGCATTAGGCAACCATAATTTCTCATAATATTGTCAAAATGCGGGCTTGTTTTCCCCAAATCACTAAAATAATTCAATACTTTGTCCAGCTCAGTTAGGGGTGTTCGCGGTGCGATTTGGATTCTAAACCGCACCAAATCGCAAAATTACGGTTTGTATTTTTCTCAAACTGCATTAATAAAACCAAACCAAACCGCACCGCACCGCAAAATGTGGTTTGGTGCAGTGCGGTTTGCGGTTTAACCGTATATTTTAAAAATTATAATTATTTTTTGTATAACAAACCTTTTATTTTATCTTGAGATTTTTATAAAAGTTAGATATTAATAATGTACTCATCAGAGATAGTCCCTCGCGTAGGGTTTCTGTTTTCTCCCTCGTCTAGGGTTTCGGTTTCTTGATTTTCCCCCGTTTTTCCACAAATTTATGTGCTGCTTTATTTCATAATTTGATCGTGCAACCCTCCTCTGGTGATCGCTGAGTATGGATGAGAGTTTGATGAAAGATTGGGAACGGTTAAAACTAACGGACGAAGAAAATGTGATCTTTGGGCAATCGGATGTTTCTTTGACAGAGGAAATGTCGAACACAAAAATTTCCCTGTCTCTAGTAGGTAAGCTTCTTACCAAAAAATCTTTTAATGTTGAAGCCATGAAAAGGGTTTTAAAAACCTTATGGAGAATTGATGACAATGTGGCCATTCGAGGTGTGAACACGAACATATTTGTCTTCCAATTTTTTAACATTGATGATAGAAAGAAGGTGTTGGAAGGTAGACCATGGGTGTTTGATAACCAAATCTTGTTATTGAAGGAGATGTGTGCTACTGAACAACCATCGGAGGTCTCTTTCGATGCATGCCCTTTCTGGATACGGCTTCTTGATGTACCTTTCGGCATGCGTTCATCTAGGGTGGCTCATGAAATTGGGAATTGTATTGGTGAGTGTATAGATGTCGATGAATCTGACCCCCTTTGTTGGGATGAGTTTATGAGGGTGAAAGTGATGGTGAATATCAATAAGCCTCTTCGAAGGGGTATGAAAATTGCAGTTGAGGATGGTTGTGCGAAATGGATTGGTTTTAAGTACGAGAGGTTAGGTGATTTTTGCTACTACTGTGGTCGAATTGGCCACACAGATAAGGATTGCGAACAGAAGGATGGTGGCAGTGATGTCTCGCTTATCGTCTTCCAATATGGCCCTTTCTTGACAGCGTCCCCTTATCGATCAAAAGTCTCTGAGATTGATCGTGAACATGGCAGAAGATGGCTGGAGAGGTTGAATTCGAGAGGTAGGTTGCAGCGCTCGGATTACAACGACCCTAAGGCTATCAAGCTTGGTCCACCTAGTGCGGCCAGAAAGCTACTGTTCTCTTCCCCTGTGACACCTAAGGTCTCTCCTCCTTTGCCAAGATCCATTGCTCTGAGGACTGTTGATTGTAACGGTGATGGTAAGCTGGTACTACGCCCGTTCTCTGTCCAAGGTTCACCAAATAACTCTCTGAAAGAAGCTGTTGAGCAGAATAATTGTGAATCCATGATCGATGGGGATGCTTCTGTTGATTTGGGGGCTGTTGTTGATGTCGTGGATGTGGATGTGGAGATGCTTAGGAACGCACATGCTGGAAAGGCCAAGAAAAGAAGGCTTGATGCCACTGAGATTGAGATCCCGGAGGTCGAGGTAAACCATGCTGAGAAGAAGATAAAATATTTTGTACATGTTGATGAAAAAGTCGATTTTCCATTTAAAGTAGGGAGTATTGGGAATGCCCAAACTCCCGAACAACAATGAAAATTTTAAGTTGGAACTGTCACGGGATTGGCAACCCGTGGACGGTTAGGGCTCTCCGGGACTTATGCTAGAGAGATAGGCTGAATGTTGTTTTTATTATGGAATCTATGATTGATGCAAATCGTCTTAATAAAATTAAAAGTAGTTGTGGTTATACAGATGGTGTTTGTGTTAGTAGTAATGGTAGATCGGGGGTTGGGCATGTGGTGGAAAGATATTGGCGTGAATGTGATTTCGTACTCTATGCATCATTTTGCTATTGATATTCTTGATGAAAATAGTAGGGCGGTGTGGAGGGCTATTGGAATCTATGGATGGCCGAAACAATCTAATAAACACCTGACTTGGTCCCTAATGTCTTCTTTGTATGTTGACTGTAATCTACCATGTGTGATGTTTGGTGATTTTAATGAGATCTCTAGCCAGTTTGAAAAGGAGGGGGGTCCGCCGAGAAGTGAAAGAATGATGGATGCTTTTCGTGAGGCTATTGACAATTGCACCATGCGTGATTTGGGTTATACTGGCAATATTTTTACATGGGAGAGAGGTAACTCTATGGAAATTTTTGTCCGAGAAAGGCTTGACAGATTCATTGCAACGGAGGATCGGTGTACGCTCTTCCCTGAGTGTGTCGTCAAAAATCTACCTATCTTAAAATCACAGTCAGACCATGCCCTTATTGTTCTAACTACGGAAAATCATACTGCTGGTTTTGGTGGCCATACGGGTTTTAAGTTTGAGGCCCTATGGTTGTCTAATGAGGAGTGCGGGGAGGTGGTTGGACAAGGTTGGCGTGACAGTGTAGGGTGTAGCATGGCCTCTAGAGTCGCAATATGTAGTGAGAAACTAGCTTCGTGGGCTGCCCTGACTTTTGGCTTAGTGAAAAAGCGAATCAAAAAGGGGGAAAAAAGGTTGAGTGAACTGAAAAGGGGTGCTATGGATGCGGCAAAGCTGGAAATGTGTAACTCGCTGTCAAATGAACTTGATGAGTTATATAAACTTGAGGAGTCGTACTGGCATGCAAGGGCTAGGGTGAATGAACTTCGAGATGGTGATAAAAACACAAAATACTTCCATCACAAAGCAAGTCAACGAAAGGCACATAATAGAATTGTGAAATTGAAGGATGACAATGGAGATTGGTTCGAGAATCAGGTGGACATAGAAAGGTTAATTGAGGCCTACTTTGCTCGTATCTTTGCAACAAGTGCGCCAATGGGGATACCAGAAGCTCTTGAGGGAATAGAAGAGGTAGTGTCCGAGGAGATGAATGACATGTTAAATAGGGAGCCGATTGATGAGGAGATAAAACATGCTTTGTTTCAGATGCACCCAAATAAAGCTCCTGGACCGGATGGTATGCATGCTCTTTTTTTCCAAAAATTCTGGCACATTGTAGGTTCAGATATTATCAATTTTGTGAAAAAAATGGTGGAGAAGGGAGGTGGACCTGTCGGATGTGAACATGACTTTCATAGCCCTAATCTCAAAGTGTGAAGCTCCGATGCAAGTGTCTGACTTTTGGCCTATTAGTTGTTGTAATGTAATTTATAAAATTGTTTCGAAAACAGTAGCTAATAAGTTGAAGGTGGTGTTAAATAAAGTGATCTCAGTCAACCAGAGTGCTTTTATTCCGAGGCGTCTCATCTCTGATAATGCACTTGTGGCTTTTGAGATTTTTCATGCCATGAAAAGAGGTGGTGAGGGTAAGGATGGAAGCTTCGCTCTAAAGCTGGATATGATTAAATCCTATGATAGAGTGGAATGGGTGTTCTTAGAGAGGGTAATGGATAAAATGGGGTTCTCAGGGGCGTGGATTAGTAGAATAATGAGTTGCCTTCAAAGTGTTAAATTTGCTTTTAAAATAAATGGGCAAATTTCAGGGTCAGTAATACCATCCAGAGGGCTCCGACAAGGTGATCCAATTTCCCCGTATCTTTTTTTTAATCTGTGCTGATGCTTTCTCTACTCGTCTTAATAAGACTACCAGGGATGGTCTGTTACATGGTGCTAGAATCTGTCGAGGAGCTCCCCGTATCTCCCACTTGTTTTTTGCGGATGATAGTATCCTTTTTGCTAAAGCTAAGACTATAGAGTGCTCTGTGATAGCTAATATAATTAGCAAATATGAAAGAGCGTCGGGCCAGAAAATAAATACTCTTGGGGTTCGGGAAGTTAACAGGAATGGAAAATACCTGGGGCTACCAACGATAATTGGCAGGTCTAAGAGAGCTATATTCGCTGGTATAAAAGAGAGGATCTGGAAGATTTTGCAGGGTTGGACAGCGAAGCTGTTATCTAATCATGGGAAAGAAATTTTAATCAAAGCTGTTGCTCAGGCTATTCCGACCTACATAATGGGGATATTAAGGATACCGGATGGAATTGTTGATGAAATCCACTCGCTTTTGGCTCGATTCTGGTGGGGGTCTACATCCTCAATAAAAAGACTACACTGGCAGAAATGGGAAGAGTTATGCAGGCCAAAGAGTATAGGGGGCTTGGGCTTTCGGGACCTCCGATGTTTCAATCAAGCTCTCCTAGCTAAACAATTATGGCGTCTCCACCATGACCGAGGCTCTCTTGTTCATGCTATCATGAAAGTAAAATATTTTAAAAATTGTGATGTACTGGAGGCTGCTAGAGGGTATGACCCAAGCTATACATGGAGAAGCTTATGGGGTGCCAAATCGCTGCTGTTAGAGGGTTTGAAGTGGAGGGTGGAAAATGGTTGTGACATCTCAGTGTGGGACTGTGCGTGGCTGCCCAGCAATTCTTCGGTGTGTGTACCTACTCCTCTGGAGAACAGCGATATGGGACTGAGAGTAAGCGATCTTATCGACCATGAAACGATGTCATGGCGCCAGGAGGTTCTTGCTGACAACTTCAATATGGCTGAGCAAACTCAAATTCAATCCATCCCCTTATCCTTTAGGTGTGTGAAGGATCGAATGTTTTGGTGGCCTGCAAGATGTGGCAAGTACTCTGTGAAGTCGGGGTACTGGCTGGCGAAGCATGGCCCTGCTACAATACAAAGACAGCCCCAAGATGAAATTTGGCGAATTATTTGGAGCATGAAAATTCCCCCGAAGCTAGCCCATTTCCTATGGAGGGCATGTAAAGGGTTTCTTGTTGTGCGAGAAAGACTGGTTAACCGTCATATAATTGAAAATAAATGATGTACAATCTATGGAATGGGTGATGAATCGGTGATCCATGCTACTTTTTCCTGCAAAGCTGCACTTGAGATATGGAATGTCAGCGAATTTTAGGCTCTGATAGAGCAAGCACCGGATTCAAGCTTTTGTGAGAGGTTCTTATGGCTTGCCTCGAAGACTACAAGTAATGAGCTGAGGTCAATTGCAACGCTAACCTGGGCTGCTTGGTGGTGTCGAAACAAAGTGGTTTTCGAACATGAAGACTTGTGTCCTATAAGCATAGCCTCGAACCTTGCCAAATCTGTCCAGGAGTATGCTGATTATGCAAAAAAGGTGTTTATGTATCGGGGTGCTGCTGTGACTCCTGCTGCTAATGCCTGGTCCTGTCCTAGTGTGGGGGTAGTGAAGGTAAATTGCGATGCTTATGTAGGGAGGAATGTGGGGCTTGGTGTGGTTATCAGAGATGCGAATGGAAGTATACTGGCAGCTGCTGTAAAGAGGGGTGCTCTAGGATGGTCAGCTGAGATTGCTGAGGCTGCAGCTTGTCGCTATGGGCTCCAGTTAGCAACTAGACTTGATTACTCTGCTGTGGTGCTTGAGAGTGATGCGTATGCTGTTACGCAAGGAATAAAGACGAAGCCTGCTGATAATTTCACACCTTTCTCTTTAATTATTGACAATGTGTGTTATTTGTCTAGGTTTTTTACTGTTTTCTCAGTGTCTCATGTTAAACGTGCGGGTAATACTCTAGCACACCATGTTTCTAGATGGAATACTTATGATTGTACTGAACGTGTTTGCTTAGGTCCGTTTCCCCAAAGTCTGTTAACTTTGGCGGAAATTGACCTCCTTTAATTTTAATCCGCAGGTTTTTTCAAAAAAAAATAAAAAATAAAATAATGTACTCATCAAGACGAATCAAACTAGATCCCACATGACTATATTTGTTTTTATAAATTGAGAGAAATTAAGAAGATTCTCTCTCCTATTTTTAAAAAGTTAAATATTCCAAACAGGAACATCATTTTTGAACGGAGGGAGTATATTTTCATTCTTTTATTTTTTTGTAATAAAAATATAGTATAAAAACCGCAAAATACATTAAAGTGCGGTTTGCGGTGCAGTTTGGTCTAAATTTTTTTAGAAACCGCAAACTACGGTTTGGTCATATTCAAAAACCGCACCGCAATTTTCAAACCGCAAACGCAAAATTGGGGTTTGGTGCAGTCTAAACCGCACTCTGAACAGCCCTAAGCTCAGCTTATTCTTATGAACTTGTTTTAATCTGAGACTAGCTTTTTGGCTTGGGTGATGCTCCAAGTCATCATATTAATGGCATGATTTAAATATTTATTTATGTTTAATTTTTGATATGATAACGTGTAATATGACAATAGCTTAGTGGCTAACACTTTACATTTTGAATTTGATGTTGAGGGTTCAAATCTTGTAAAATCCATGGTTTTTAAACAAATGAAATCAATTAAATGAGGAGAGCGCCACGTTACACGGAAAATTGTCTATGAACGCTTTTTAATATATAGTATGGATTTTGCTAAGCATTAATTATTTTTACATTATTTGTTTTGATAAGTTAAGGAGAACATTTCCTAAATTCAACAAGAACTTATTATGCTCGACTAAATATAAGCAAAGTCAGCGCAAATTTTAAGGTGCACCACTGCACCCTGACGCCTATACTTTTGAACATTTAGTAAAAAAATCTGAACAATTGCAAATTTCGAACATTTAGTAAAAAAAATCTGAACATCACAAATTTTGAACATTTAGTAAAATAATCTAAACAATCGCAATGCACCACGCTTATACTTTTGAACATTTGGTAAAAAAATTTGAACAATTGCAAATTTTGAACATTTAGTAGAAAAATTTTGAACATCGCAAATTTTGATCATTTAATAAAAAAAATCTGAACAATCACAACGCACCACGCCTATACTTTTGAACAATAAGTAAAAAAAAAATACGAACAATTGCAAATTTTGAACATTTAGTAAAAAAACTGAACAATCACAAATTTTGAACATGTAGTATATTAAATACAACACTATATGATAAATATCAATTTTTTGAAAGAAGTTTGTCTGACTCGTAATAATTCAATAGTTTTGTAATATAAACTGAACATTTACTGCATATAATGGCTAACATTTCTTTATAAAATATGAACATATAGAATTTAATGTTTATGTTCATTTTTTGTGACGTGTTCAATTTTTTTACTAAATGTTTAATTTTGTATAGTGTTCAATTTTTTTTACAAAATATTAAAAAATATAGATGTGGTGCACCTATTTAAGTTATCATAGTCCACAATTCTACGCGCATAATAACTATTGCAAAGTCAGAATGATTCGATGGCCCAAGTATACAACATGCTTAAAAGTTTTATTTTGAGAAGCCCAACTGCAGCAAAGGTGACCCAAGTGGAGTAAAAGAGGCCCAGAAGTTCCATCTGATTCTCTGCCTGTTCTACTTTAAGTTATCATAGTCCACAATTCCATAAGCATTCAAGATAATACAACTGCATTACAACAAGTATGAAATGTATCATAGACCAAAATCCACAATTCCCTGCCTATTTCATCTCTTACATCTTTAATTATCAGTTATCACTACAGCAGATTTTCGAAACGAACCATATAACTACTGTATCAAACATATATTCAGGAATTTACCGACATGTTGATAGGCTCGCTATGGTACTAAACCAATTTTTATGACTCTAGGGGCTAACTACCATAACCACTTCGATATTGGAATTTTTTTCTAAAATTGGTCCGAAATTGTGGATTATAACCTTTAATTTTGAGCTATTTTTAGGATCGAAAAAGAAAAAGAATTAGGTGTTTCTCATAGACACCGCAAATCATCGAGGCTATTTGAGTGGTCGAAACCATTCACTTTGCCTCTTAACTCTTAATTTAACAAATTGTATACATGTCTCCGTCATTAACTCAAGAGCGCTATGAATCTATATGTGACTATTAGAGACCTTATATGGTTTCATATTATTATATGTGATTTTAGATGTATCCCTTACCAATTACCATCAGTCCATCACATGAGTTTTCAACACTTGGTCCTGAAATCTCTAAAATTGATTTAATTTCATGTATTATAGCTTCATATTTAGCATCAAGAGAATATTTACAGACTCAATAAAGTCCTATCAAGGTGATTCCTAAGGTCCCCAAATTAAAAGCCCATTGGAGACCTACCTGTTGGTGCCCAGAATCATCAAACTCATGCCTAGGCTCACCCCACCCCTTGTAATCATGTCTTAAGATATATTGACATTGATCCTTGCATAACATTGTCCTTGTCTTGCACAAATGCTAATACAGGTCCAAAATAATGGTTATGAGAGTTTCAAAAGAGGTTGGAGGGTGAAGATTGTTGCCGAAGTAACTGTTTAAATTAATAAGACTAGTTTTCATTTTTCTGTCTCTAAAAGTTAAGAACTTACTATTCTTTCTTTCTTTCCATTATAGCTTGAAGTGCAATTGATACTAACTAATAATTTGAAGTAAGCATTACAATTTCACCATTTAAATTAGTTGTTAAAACGTATTATAGATGAACTAATGTAATTACAAATATTTTGAATGGATATATAATTTATAAGCTTCTCTTTTTAATAAACAACCATACACAATAATAATCAATTGTCTACTCATGTGTAATGTGACACCATGTCATTGTCAAGTCAAACATTCACGCTACAAAATTAATGAAAGAAAACGATATTAAAATATACTAGATAGCACTATACATAGAAACTTGTAATCAGTAATTAAATATCTATTTTTCTTCATATATGTATCTCTCATTCTCTCTCTAAGAGTCTAAGGCCATTTGCAAATTTTGCCATGCCTTGTTTCTTTACAAATCTTTTTATAGTTTTCCTCCTTTTTTTGATTCTTCATGATTTTTTGCATTGGAAACTCGTGCATCAAACATCAACGTCAAAGAGTCGCCCAAAAAATAAAGATACTCCTACATCAACAACCAAAAATTAAAAAGAAAAAGGCCATGCTTTCACAAATGTTAGTCCAAGATTGTTGCTTTGAAGATTAAATTCCCTCATTTCCTAAGGCCCCACATGAATATGCTTTGGATGCCTTTGCAATTTGCAATTTCATAAAATCAATATTGTTTGAACTTAAAATCTTCAAAAGAATTTGTCATTAAATTCTCTTATGCTCTGATGGAGTGTGGGGGAAGAACTAGACTTTTATAATCAAATTCATGGAATTTTCCCCAAATTTCGACTAAATATACTTGTATATTAATATTATTATTGCCTTATTGGTCTAGTTTTTTGTCGACAATTCATGCATCTCTAATTCTCTATTATTTACTAGACTTATCTCATTTTGTAGCAATGTTTTATGTTTGTTATAGTACGGGTACGTTTCACTTTTTTTTTCTTTTTTTTTTTTTTTTTTTTTTTTTGCGTGTGTTTTATGTTTAGGTAAATTCAAGGTAATTTTCTAAGGAGAATTAAACCTATATTCTACTGTCCTTACAATGAAAATAACATAATTTCTTAATTTTTTTAACACTTTTTTTTTTAAATTATATATATAAGCTTATAATCGTTTTTATGGTCCACTTGAACCAATATAAAGTATTAAATTATATAAAATAAACTTGCACATTATATTATACCAAAGGGGATAACGAATGTGAATGCCGTATACTTTAAGTGAAAGTTTTCTTTCTTTCTTTTTTTTTTTAAACAATTAAGTGAAAGTTTTTTTTATACTCATAATAGTGCATTTATGTACGTGAGAGCTAGATATCTATAATTAATTTCCTCTTTTAAGGGGAAAATGGACATGTTTAATGTTAAAAAAAAATGTTGAGCACTCATCAATGAGATATGAGATGGTACAGCATTCGATATTTCACCCTAAGGAAATCAGGAAACTTGTAGCCAATTCTGCATTTAAAATATACACTTAATAATTTGGTTAATTGGTGTAGGTTTTAGACAAAATATACTCTATTTCGGATTCAAAAATAAGAAGTAGCTACACTCGAAAAATTGACACCCCGACCCTAAATACAGACATAAGGTGTAGGATAGTTGAAACAAGTTATGAATTTATCAATATACCCTTCAAATTAAATCGTTTAATACACCATTGTAAAGTTGTAAAAGCGCGTATAAATAGAATAGTTGATATGATATGATAATGGTCAATGATAAGTACACATAAGCTACTTAAACAATGGGATACTAACCATATACCAAAGTTAGGAATTGATTTGAGAATCATTATCAAGATTAACATCATCATTAATCATCCACTTATACATCCAAGCACGAAATACCAACACAAAGGGTACTATAGCACTCTAAAGAACACAATCATGTAAACAACATTAATCAATTCAATTGTCCTTTATAATACAAGACTAACCACTAATTTACTAGAATAATCTAGAATAAACAGTATCATTTAAGCAAGTAATTAATCCTAAGTTTAGGCAATTTGTCCCTTAATTTACAGTCTGTAGTGGGAGCATAGGATTATGGTGGGCCAAAAAAAAAACCCAATGATTCTCCATACTTTTTATATCCTTCGTGCTGCTGGCTTTCATCATATAATAAAATCTCCATTTCCTTTTCTTCTGTTATAAGATGACTTTTTCTTTTACTAGACATACTTTTTATTTAATGCATGCTTTCTTTACCAAGCTTTATTTAGTGGACCCTTTTTTTATGTTACATTTTTTTTTTTTGTTCCAAGGGGTAATGTAACCCTTTTATTGTTTTATAGCATAGTTTCATCATATGCAATATATATTTGGAAACATAATAA